CGAGGTGTTTAGAAGTTGAGGGTTTGTGGTGTAAGGTTCTCATGTTGCGGCGTGGCCCCCAAAAGTTGGTTTAGGGGTTTAGGGACAATCCGCCTGATCCTTTCCATCTTCGCAGAGGGCGGGAAAGCTTGTTCCAGCTTTCATGTTCCCGTTCTCTCGGCCATGTACTCTCCAGTGGCTAGACTAGGGTTTAGGCTTAGAGGGCTCAAAAACCCAGAGTCCTTCTTTTTGCTGGCCATGGTGGCCGGGGGTTTGAGGCGTTTCTGTGCCTGCAGGCGCTCCCAACGGCATCCGGCTGCTCGTCAGCAGGCGCCCACCGCTGCCAGGAGCAGGGAAGACAAATTGCTACGTGCTCTGAAAGTCTCCTAAACCCTAAACCCTAAACCCCAAACCCTAAAAAACCCTAAACCCTAAACACCAAACCCTAAACCCTAAACCCTCTAAGCCCTAAGCCCCAAGCCCCAAACCCCAGAAAATGGATGCAGGGGCTCGGTTATCCCTACATCCTAGAAGCCTCAGCCCTCCAAACCGTAAACTCTCTCCACCTCAGAAGTGTCGCCAGGGAGCAGCATCCTGTTGGGGAGGGTGTGTGCTGTGACGAGGCGCCACCTAGGGGTTTAAGGTTTAAGGCTATGGAGGTTTACTGGCTTTTGCTTGGGATAATTCATAATTTCCTTTCTTTCTTATAAGGGAACCTATTTATACATAATTTTCAAAGGTTTAAAGCGCAACTCAATTTGGGGTTTAGGCCAGTGGGTTTGAGATGTCGGCTGCGTTGCAGGGGTGGAGTTGGCGATGGCAATTGCAGCGATGTCGGCTTCAGATGTGCGAAGGTCGAGGGTTTAGAACTCAGGGTTTTCGGGGTTTCAGGGTTTAGGGTTTAAGGAGCAGCGCCAGGAAACAGGCACCGGAGCCTTCGACAAAGGCAGGGGGAGGCTAACAGGGCTCTAACTGAAGCCCGCAGGGCGCGCCGGAGAATCTCTAGAGGGGCCAAGAACAGGAAACGTGGGACCGAAAGTTTGAATGTAAAGTACCATATGCCATACACGCGTACATATTCACGTGTTTTATTTTCTCTTGTTTTATACCACATCAGATTAACACATCCAATTCTATAGCCTATAGCTTATACATATACATATATATATATATAAAGCCCGGCTCAGAGCAGGTCACAAACGAAGTCGTCTCAGAGCGTCCGACCGCCTGCAACGGTTTCAAGGCGCCCCTCGCGAGAGGGTTTGGAGTTTAGAAGCCCCCCTAAACAGGCTGGGGCCGAAGGGTTCAGAGTTTAGGGTAACCCTGAACCCTGAAGCCCTTAACCACCAACCAAGCTGCAGGACGAGTACACCAAGCATGCGGGCAAAGTCGTGGCTGGAATCTCAGGAGTTGGTTTAAGCAGGAGGTGCGTGGGTTCTTTGGGGTTTAGGGTTTAGGGTTTAGAGTTTAGGTATGAAGAAGCGTTTAGGAGGTTTGTTTCCTCAGGCCGCAGCTGAACTCTACCGCAAGCCCTAAACCAACCCTACATTGCAACCCCTGAACTCAGAACCTAAGACCCTAAACCTTGAACCCTGAACCCTAAACCGGAATCATTGCTAATGGCGTTTTCTTGAAGTTCCTCAGTTGCAGAGGAGCTGATTACGGAACCCTAAACCCTGAACCCTCAACCCTAAGACCTAAACCCTAAACCCTAAACCCTAAACCCTAAACCCTCAGCATCCCATGCCAGCCTGTGGAGAAGCACATCAAGCCCCGCGAGGGGGAGCCCGTAGGCACCTGGGAGGAGGCGCGCGCGCTGTGAAGTGAGGGGTTTGGGGTGTAGGGTTTAGGGTTTGGGGTTTAGGGTTTAGGGTTTAGGGTTTAGGGCTTAGAACTTCGGGTTCCGGGTTTAGGGTTTAGAGCCCAGGGTTTGCGAACTTTGCGATGAAATCGAGGAGCTCTTACATCCTTGAGCCCTGCACCCTTCACTCTTCTGGGTTGTAGAGTTCTGGGATGTGTTCGCCCTAAACCCTAAACCCTAAACCCTAAACCCTCAACCCTAAACCCTAAACCCTAAACCCTAAACCCTACTGCGCAGGCCCGGAAGTGGTGTTTGAAGCATGGCGCCGGCTGCGTCGGGATCTTCGACGCCTCCCGGCGCTGCTATGAACAAGCCCCTCTGTAGGGTTTAGGGTTTAGGGTTTAGGGTTTAGGGTTCAGGGTTTAGGGTTTAGGGTTTAGGGTTCAGGTATGAGGGTTCAGGGTTTAGGGTTTAGGGTTTAGTTTCCAGGGTTCAGGGTTTAGGGTTAAATTAGGGGTCGCAGGGGGCCGAGGTTTAGGGTTACGCAAGTTGGGGGTGAGACCCGAATTCCACAGTCCCTGTGTCACCTTCGCACTCATAGAAGTTGAGGCCTAAACCCTAAACCCTAAACCCTAAACCCTAAACCCTAAACCCTAAACCGTTTCGCAAGCAAAAGCTTCCCGCCCTCAGAGGAACGATGCGACGGGCAGGGCTTTGCGCTGGTCACGAACATCACTTTCAGCAGCTCTGGCATGGTCTTGGTTTAGGGTTTAGGGTTTAGGGTTTAGGGTTTAGGGGTTTAGGGTTTAGGGTTTAGGGTTTAGGGTTTAGGGTTTAGGGTTTAGGGTTTAGGGTTTAGGGTTTAGGGTTTAGGGTTTAGAGTTTAGCGGTTACTTTTATTGGGGTTAGGGTTTAGGGATCTAACGTGTGGGGTTATGAGGTTCAGGGTTTGCAGCTTTGGGATCTGGGAGGGTTTAGGATTCTGGGTTTGGGGTGGGGTTTGGGGATTGGCGTTTGGGATTTTGTGTGCTAGTGTTAGATATCTTTTTGGACAGGCTTCGGGTGCCCCCTAAGCCCTATAAACCCCAAACCCTAAACCCTAAACCCTAAACCCTAAACCCTAAACCCTGTAGGTTTGAGGCTAAGGGCTTGGCCTTCTCCGTCCCGGAGGCAAGCTTGAGGCCACGGAGGATGGCAGCTGCGTTTACGAGAAGCTGGCGGAACGGTAAGGCAGGGTTTAGGGTTTAGGGTTTAGGGCTTAGGGTTTAGGGCTTAGGGCTTAGGGTTTAGGGTTTAGGGTTTAGGGTTTTGGGGTTTTGGGGTTTAGGGTTTTAGGGTTTTAGGGTTTTAGGGTTTTAGGGTTTTAGGGTTTAGGGTTTTAGGGTTTAAGGGCTTTAGGGTTGAGCCTCTCATGTTTTGGCTCTCTCACTAGTCAAAGAAGTACCCACCCACCCATGTAGTCAAAACTGATGATGTGACATCTATACATCTGGATCATACAACACTTTCTGTTTCTTCAGAACACTCCTTCTGCTGAGCCCCTCTATGCTAGCAGCCCTAGATCATAAGTTTCGGCTGCACTGCGTCTGGAACCCTACGACCCAGGGCCCAGTAGGCCCTGAACCCTAAAACCCAAGGCCTGGTACGCGAACGCCCAGAAACCCCAAAAAGAATTGATACAGGGTTGGTGGCCCATTGGTGGCAACACACACAGCTTGGCACGGGTTTCGGGCTTTAGGGTTAAAGTGCGGGCTTTAGGGTTGCAGTGTAGGTGCGGCTTCCGTTTGGGGCTGGAGTTGTTCTTGGTTTTGAGGGCTTCCAGAAACCCTAAACCCTAAGCCCTAAACCCTAAACCCTAAACCCTAAGCCGGAATGGCTTGAGGATTTGGGATTGAGGGGGCTCGAGGGCTTAAGGGTTTCAGGGCTCAAGGAGCCTGCGGGCTGAAGGGTTCATGGGAGTTTGGGTTTAGGGTTTAGGGTTTAGGGTTTAGGGTTTAGGGTTTAGGGTTTAGGGTTTAGGGCTGGGGTTGAAGGTTTCGGTTCAGCTAGGTTCTAGGGTCTTGAACAGCGCTCCCTCAGACCATCCAAGAGCACAGGAAACTCCTACCAGGGGCCCGCCCTCTAGGTCGAGGGTTGCCGTCTAGACCTCTGAGCCTTCAACTCTGAACCCTAGCCCTAAACCAACCCTAAACCCTAAACCCTAAACCCTAAACCCTAAACCCTAAACCCTAAACCCTAAACCCCACACCCTAAAGCCTGCAAGTCCCTGCAAGCCCAACACCGCCTTGTGTCCGGCAGTTTGGGCCTTGGCCGACCCGCCCTTTTTCCTTCAGAAGGAGGACGCTGATGGGGCCGGATCCCTGGAGATCTTGGCGAGGGCTTGCTCCGACATTGCGCGTGGGGTATTTAGGGTTCTCAGGGACATTGCATATGGGGTTTGGGGGCTTGGGGTTTAGGGTTTAGGGTTTACGGTTTAGGGTTTAGGGTTTAGGGTGTTAGGGGCTTAGGGTTTAGGGTTAGGGTCTATGGGGTTTAGGGTCTAGGGTTTAGGGTTTCGGGATGCCCTGAAACCCTGCGGCCACTTGAGACTTAACACCCTAAAGCCTAAACCCTTCCAGCGGCCAGGCGGTGCGGTTTAGTTTCGATCGGTTCGTGGGAGATGAGGGTGAACCTCAGGCGGCCATGGGAAGAAGTATGTACTTTCTGTTCAGCTTGTTGTCATGTTTACAGACGTGCTACGCGAATGATGTGGGGAGAAGGAGGAGACAAAATCGGGCCAGCCAATGCAGCTGGAGCTACGTACAATGCTGCTAAGACTTCGAATCAGCAACGGCACTTGTACTCGGTGAAGGCTACAATGTCATGCAATGCCGCGGAACATGCTGTGTGCGTAATCTTTGAAATCATCAGCACTGCAAAGAACGAATGTACGTGCGAGGGAGCACCACCAACTAACTATATTGCTGTTCCTGATCCATGCCGCCGTGTCGGTTCTGTTTCAGAAGAGGCGATCCGATCAAAGTCGTGATCTTGTCTAAGTGTGCTGATTCAGGTGGCATTGGTCTGTGCCTTACATCAGACTCAGAGCCTTAAGACCCTATAAGCCCTAAGCCCCTAAACCCCTACAAGCCCTAAACCCCCACAAGCCCCAAACCCCACTAGAAGCCCTGAACCCCTCCCTGAACCCTAAACCCTAAACCCTAAACCCCAAGCCCCATTCATGAAGATGGCGATCCCCTCCCCTGGGCGCCGGCGGTTGCTGGCGCCGTTGCTTCGCGGCTGGAGCTCCACACCGGGGTACCTGGGAGCTCCAGTTTCAAAGCCAGACTTGTATGTATACGATCCTGGGTCGGCTTTTGGGATGTTGTTTTTTTGTTATTTGGGTTTATAAGGACCCTAAACCCTAAACCCTAAAACCCTCTACATAGATATCTTTCAAAGGGTTCAAAATGCCAGCTCAGGATCTGTGCCCGTTTTGCACGAGGGCCCGCATGATCTTTGGGCTGAAGGAGATCCCGCACCGGCTCATCTTCATGTCTTACGATGACGCCGAGACCCCTCAAGGGCTCATTGGCATCTAGGAAGAGTTGCTCATGGGTATTCCCCCGTATGGTATAGATGTACTATAAGAACCCGCCTAAACAGTATTCTAATCATTTAGGCTGCTACCAGGTAGGCCCTTCAGGGCCATTTTAAATCTTTCCCTCATTGGGTTTTCAGAGGATCCTATTTCCGGAATATGTTTTCAGAGGGTTTTAGGGCCATCCCAGGTAAGAAGCTGGCACCCATCCTCCATCTTCCAGGCGAGAAGCCCATGGCTGAATCCATGGAGATCGTCCAGAAGCTGGACGCGGATGCCAGGTGCTTACGGTTGGTTGTAGGGAACGAGGGAATGAGGTACCCTGTGTCCCCATTATGATATACCCTTTACAGGGATTCTATAGGGCTACCTCATTCCCTCAGTCCCTACTAACCGTTACTAACCAACAGTAAGGTGGGGCCCCCCACGGCTCCTGCCGGCAACTGGGCGCCCTGACTTGGCTGAGTTCGATGCCAAGCACTGGCCCACCATTCGAAACTTGGTGCACACGCGCTTCATGCACGCGCCCCTGCCCGACCTGGCCTTGAGGAGCGCAAGAGACTACTTTGTGGAGAGGCATCCCTTGGAGGATCCGGCAACCAACATCAGGGTGAGCCAAGATGTGTGGAACCGTTACGATCCGGCGCAGAAGCGTGCTCTCTACGAGCATCACTTGAGCGATGAGTCGCGCCTCGGCCACCTGAACGAAGAAGTGCTTCCGATTTTCGAGAAGCTCCTCCACAGTGAAGAGGCTGTGTCCGCACCCGGTCTTGGTTTCGACGACGTCGTCCTCTTCTGCCGCTTGCGCTACGTCACATTGGTTAAGGGCGCCCAACTTGGCGCGAAAGCTGAGGCTTATTTGGAGAGCATGAGCAGGAAGACCGACATACCTTTGCTGACTAGAATGGCGATGTGACGTGGGGCTCCCGTTCCCTGTGCGTGATGGCACTTCTGCTGGATCAGTAAATGCGTACGCGTCGGGAGAAACAAATGAGATGTTTGTGAAAAAAGCAGGGCTTTCGGAAGCGTTCCCGCCTATATGCTGTTCCATCCGTCTCCAGCTGCAGGAAAAGTGGGCTTGTACGAACGGGTAAAGGCCTAGTGACCTGGTGAGATTTTAAGTGTGCTGAGCAAGCCCGCTCCCACTCGGAACCTCAGCCGACAACACGGCTCAAATCGCATTCCCGACGGGGTTTAGGGAATGTAGGGTTCCGAGCACGTTGAGCCCCTTTCTACCCGAAACCCGAAATCCTACCTCTGAGAATTTTCCAGGTCGTGCCTCTGAATCTTCTCAGAACCATCTGCCGAATCAGGGGCTTCAAGAGTGGATTCTGGACTTTCAGAGCCTGAGAGCTTAAACCCGAGGCCCTACAGCCCCTTTTCATTGTCCAGGTTTGTATCCTGCACCCCTGAACTCCCTGAGCCCTAAACCCGAAACAGGGTTCAAGGCGACCCCTCCACAACTGCAAAAAAAACATTTCCCTCCCCTCCCCCCCCCTCAAAAAAAGAAAATGAACCCTACCCTAAACCCTACCCCCCCCCCCCCCCCCAAAAAAAAAAAAAAAAAAAAACGACGGTCCCCAGGTCGCCAAGCCAAGCGGAGCGCCATGTGCAGTTTCACTCGTGCGGAAAAATTGGGCGCATGCGGCCTAAACCCGAAACCCTCAACCCTAAACCCTCAACCGAGCTGTTGTTGTTCTTCTGCCCGGGTTCCACTTTGACCACCCCCCCCCCCCACCGTCAACTCAAGAACCCTGAGCCCTAGACCTTTAAATCCTAAAGCCTACGAACCCTAAACGGACCCTAAACCAAAAAACCCAAAACCCTAAGATCTTGGAATGCAGGTTCCCTGTCGCATCCTGTCGCTCAAGGACCCAAAACCCCTGTTGCAATCCTGCTCCGTGGGATCTGTTCCTAACCCCCAAACCTAAAACCCCCCTCAGCACCCTAAACCCCAAGCCCTAAACCCTACAAATCCTGCAAAGACTGCAAACCCTAAGCTCTAAATCCGAAACTTTAGGCCAGCCCTAAATCCTCAACCCGAGCCCCTCTTCCACGGTTCATGTCGGTTTCTAAGCATTTTGTGGCACACCCTCCGGCGCATCGGGCAAGAGCTTCGGGCGGTTAGGGTTTGGGTTCCAGGTGTAGGGTGCATGGGTTAAGGATTTAGGTTTTAGGATTCAGGTTTTCGTTATACATTTAGGATTTCGCGCCCTCTGTCCGGGCATCGCAGCGAAGCCGTCCAGCCCTCATGCGAAACAGATGAAGGTCCTTTATATTTTTCAATCAGCAAGTCTGCCAGTACCAGTTAGGCGCTTGTGATAGTTTCCCCTTGTTGATGTTTTAGAGGACCTTAAACCCTAAAACCCTAAACCCTAAAACCCTAAACCCTAAACCCTAAACCCTAAACCATGCTTGTGGAGCTCACCTGGCAGCGCACATTGATGGACGTCTGCAGGCGGGCTTTGTTCGGGTTTGGCCCCTGCCATTTGTCAAGCAGAGAGCAGAACTCAGCAACGAGCCAAGAGGCCTGTAAGGTTACGCAACCCTAAACCCTAAGCCCTAAAACCTGAACCCCGAACCCTATTTAAACCCTTCCGAGGAAACGAAAATTCCTAGAGTCTCAACCCTCAAACCTTGTGATTCTTTCGAAGCGGGCAACTCTTTGGGGGGTTTCGGGTTTGGGGGCGTTCGGGCGACTGGGGTCGTGGGCCGTGAGACCAGGCTTTCGTGACTTGGTTCGACAGGGTTTTGGGTCGGGGTTCAGGGCTTGAGGTTGGGGATTTTCAAACCCTAAACCCTAAATCCTAAACCCTAAACCCTCAACCCTAAACCCCCCTTTGCTCAGTCCGAAAGGAATGGATATCCGGGGAGCAGGACCCGAAACCCTAAATCCAACACTCCCCTAAAGCCTAAACCCTAAACCCTAAACCCTACACCCTAAACCCGGACTCATGTAATTTGGCTGATGTACGGTCGGCTCCCAGCGCTGTGAATTGGCGGTCTCCTTTCTCCTAAAACCCCCTAAACCCCAAAGCCGAAACCCTGAACTCTGCGAACCCTAAATCTGAAAACCCGAAAGAAAACCCCCCTCAACCCTCTAAACCCCACAAACCCCCAACCCATGTAAACCCTAATCTGAAGCCCTATCTTTTCCAGCAGAAGCCATCGGACATGAAACGCAAGCTTCCTTCCCCAGAGCCGGATGAGCTCCGGATATGGAATCCGGGCGTCCGTTCTCGGGGTTTGGAGTTGAAGGAGGGCTTTCTTTAAGCGCTGTAAATTGGGATGTTGCCCCTTAGATTAACAGTCCTTAGTAGGGATAAAAATGGGAGTACGAGAATGATTACATGATTAAAGTATAATCCCTATTCAGGACTTGAAGGGTTTAGGCCTAAGGGACTTGAGAGGAAATTGAAGCCAAGGAAAGTGTCTGGGGAAGAGGTGGCGGCCATACCCAGGGAGGAGTTGGGTGACCTGCTTGGCCTGAAGAGACACCTGGAGAGCCTAGGCTTAGGGTTCAGGCTTTCGGGCTTGGGGTTTAGGGTTTATAGGGTTGTTGTAGCCCCTTGGGTCTCCAAAGCTGCTCTGAAACCCCCAGCCCTAGACCCTAAACCCTTGACCCCAGCCCCATGTAAACCCTAGACCTAAACCCTAAAGCCGAAAGCTTAAAGCTTAAAGCCTAAACCCTAAACCTTTACAAAAAGCCCCAGGCGCTTCTGCGGACTCCCGCGCTTCCGGCAACGGCTCCTCCACAGCGGCAGCTGCCTGCGTCAGGACGTGGACCTGTCGCTTCTCAGCGACTTTGCGGGTAGAGTGGTTGGGGTTCAGGGTTTTGGGTTTAGGGTTTAGAGTTTAGGGTTTAGGGTTTAGGGTTGGGTTCAGGGTTTAGGGTTCAGGGTTCAGGGTTCAGAGTTTAGGGTTTAGGGTTTAGGGTTGTTTGAGTGGTTCTAGTTATGGTTCAACTCGGGGATGACTTAGCTGTCTTTCTGATGCCCTCTGTGCGGCCCCCATCTAGGTTCCCCCCTGAAATAGCCTTAATGAGGCCGAATCATCCCTAAAGAACCTTAATTATGGGGCTGGGGGGACCCTAAACCCTAAACCCTAAACCCTAAACCCTAAACCCTAATGGGGGGATATTAGGGGAACCCACGAAAGCAAGGTGACCTTCAGCTGGTGTTGCTCCCCTATTCCGCGCCCTCCCAGGAGGAGATCGAGGAGTCGAACTCCTGAACCTCAAAGTCCCAAAACTCATCAAGCCCTAGACCCTAAACCCTACACCCTAAACCCTACACCCTAAACCCTACACCCTACACCCTAAACCCTAAACCCTACACCCTAAACCCTAAACCCTAAACCCTGAACCCTGAACCCTAAGCCCATCAACCCTTCGTCTGCCTAGTCTAAGCAGTAAGTTTCAGGCTTCCAAGTCTCAATGTGTACAGGATAATACCTGAGACCGCGCCACCCCTTCCAAAAGAAAAGCCAACGGGTTTAGGGTTTGGGGTTTAGGGTTTGGGGTTTAGGGAATGAGGGAATGGGGGCCCTAGCTCATTCCCTCATTCCCTACTAAGAACCAGCCAGAAGAAGATGCTGCCGTCCCCAACTTATGTTAAAAAGACTTTCGGATAAAGCTCAAGGTTGTGTCGAAGACCTTCGCAGCAGACCAAGGCGTCAACTTGACACCAAGATGGGGAGGTTGCCCCCTAAAGCCAAAACGAAAAGCATCTGAATCCTGGACTCGATCGCTTAAGTTGGGAAATAGCGAGAAGAGTAACCACCGCCCCAGAAAATGCTCTACAAACCGGGCCTCAGCCCTAAGCCCTAAACCCTAAACCCTAAACCCTAAACCCTAAACCCTAAACCCTACACCCTAAACCCTAAACCCTAAACCCTAAACCAGGAGTTAACAGCTGCCGCCGCGAAGGGCCACACCCTGGCTCTAGAGAAGGTGCTGGACAGACCCCAGGATCCGCCTCTCTGCGAAAATTGGGGGGGAAGGGGGACCCTTTTTGTGAAGTTCTGGGGGGGGTGTATATTAGGGGGACCTTTTTTTGTGTGGAAATTCCTTTATATTTTGGGGCGTGTAGGGGCTGCTGGGGGTTTAGGGTTTCGGGCAGGCATTAAGGGCTTCTAGGGCTTTAGGGGCTTTAGCAGATTTGGGGGTTGGGGGCTTTCGGAATGTCGGGGCTTTGGGGGACTTTGGGGTCTGTAGGGGCTTTAGGGTCTTGGGGTAAAAGGGGTTTAGGGGTTTAGAGGTGAGCGTTTCAAGGTGTGTAGGTTCAGGGGTCTTCAGTTTAGGGGTCGGCAAGTATTACAGGGTTTAGGGCATGTTAGTAAAAGCACTTCTGACCGGGGCTTCTGGTTGGGTCCAACGAAGGAACCTGCCCACCCTGGCGGGGGAAACGCCTCTTGTTGCTGCAGCATCAGCGGGACACAAGGAGTCGGTGCGTTTGCTCTTGGAGGCTTGGTCCCCCAGTGGTACCTTTTCCCTTTCTTTTTGGTTCTGGTTCCCTTATACCCCAACCAAAAAAAGGGTGCCCTTGTTATAATATGGTTACTGGGCTACTAAGGAGGCCAAGGCAGAGAAGGACTTGGCCGTCCATGGCGGAACACCGCTGTTTTTCGCATCTGAGAGGGGCCACGTGGAAGTTGCACGGCTGCTGTTGGAGGCGGGAGCTCAGAAAGACCTGTCGGACCATGAAGGAAATACACCCTTGATTATGGCATCTGCCGAGAACCACGTGAAGACTGCGCGACTGTTGTTGGAGTTTGGGGCAGACAAGGACCTGGCCAACCAGTACGGCAACACACCCCTGCTGATCGCGTCCATGTACAATGCCGTGGCAGTTGCACGTTTGCTAGTCGAGGCCGGGGCGGACAAAAACCTCCCAGACAACGATGGTGCGACCGCCT